TATGCACACCAATGTTCATAGCAGCAGTATTTACAAAAGCGAAAAGATGGAGACAGCCTAAGTGCCCATCAATGGAAGACTGGATAAACAAACTGTGGCACATGCATACAATGGAATAGTATGCTACCTTGAAAGATAACAAGGAAGCTGCAAGCCACCGCATAACATGGATGAACCTTGAGGACATTATGCTGAGTGAAATTAGTCACAAAATGAGGAATACTGCATAGGACCATTCTTGTAAAAGATTAAGAAAAAGAACCCACCCTAAAAGGGTAAAAAAAAATCTTTACTGATCACGGGGATGTATGGGGTTCAGTAATTGGAAGATGGAGCACAGGATAGCTTGGGGGCTAGGGGACTGGAGGGGCACAATACACAAAAAGAGGGAGGGGAATGGAAGAACAAGGCAGATGGGGGAACAGTTAGGCAGGTTTGCATAGGCTAAATGGGACAGAGTTAAATAATGATGTATGCACAACCATGGAAAAACAGGGTTCTGGGATATAGGGATTGAGGCATGGTTTGAATGGGTAAAAGAAGAGAAACAATGTTAAGATGCTTGGCTGTCTTTTGAATCTTGGTTTCCCTTGCCTACCTTTGAAAATCAGACACTTGATGGGAAGAGAAAGGAATAGCCAGAAGCATCACCATAGAAATCTTATAAGTTCATCTTCAGCCTATAACTGATTGGAATACCTAAAAGGGGGCTAGAACTTGCCCAGTGAAAGAGGCGTCCTGTGGAGCCTTTGCATTGCTTAATACCATAGGTGGAATCCTGAACCTCATCCAGAAACTTCTGAGGTAGGAAATTTTCACTTGAAAGGACAAGCAGACCAGCATGGAGCAGACAGAAGAACAGAAGATACTTCTTGAAAGAAAGACTGGCAGGAAAAATTAAAAACAATAACAGTAGTCTGATTGACTACTATAAGAACAAGCAAGCTGTTCACCTGGGAGCCATCAAGGCAAGTGGTCAGGTCCCTTCAGAGCAAATTCCCTTCCGAGACTAAGACTCAAGGGGAATACACGAGCAGACCTGGGGTCTGGGTGGTGACCACATTGGTCACCAATAAGGGAAAATGGGGGTAAAACAACAATGAAGTTGCGAGCTAAGTCTGACCATGTTCAATAGACTCCTATGAACCCAGATTGAGACCTGGTTGGCCAGCAGTATGGCAAGACCTGGGGACTCCTGGGCCCAGAGACAGTGACATGGCCACAGAGGACTAGAGTAGAGAGTAAAGCATCCAGCTGATAAGACGTGAGGAGAGATGCACAAGAACACCCATACTTGCAAATAGTACCCACTTGACCTGACTTGTGGCTGGATGATCACAACTTGACTAGGAGAATGGCTGGATGATCAGAACTTGACTAGGAGAAGAAAGAAGAGGGAAAAAATGAGTAATCCACTACAATTTGATGAACTTGACCTACACTTATGGATGTTGTTGTTAAGTGCCTTCGAGTCGGAGCCGACCCATAGCGACCCTGTACAGGGTTTCCGAGGGTGTAAATCCTTACGGGAGTAGAAAGCCTCATCTTTCTCCCGTGGAGCGGCTGGTAGTTTCGAACCACTGACCTTAAGGTTCGCAGCCCGATTCGTAACCACTACGCTACCAGAGCTCCTTATGGATGTAGTAGCTCAAAAAAGGGAACAAATTTTTACTGAGAGGATCATTCCCACTCCCTTGGTATACAGGGTTGATAGGGATGGGCAACTTAGACATTGGCTACCCAAAAAGGGAGGGTGCTACAAAGACAAGAAGTGACTGGCTTACAAGCTTTTAAGAGGGAGCCTAGTTCCAGAGGGGGTGAGGGAAGGTAGAGTGGTTTCTAATCTTTGGAGACGGGGCTGATAAAAGGAGATGGGGTAAGACTCTTGTGGTACAATAGTGAATAATTGCTATCAAGACTGACTGTGAGTGTTGGAAATGTAAAGGTATATGTTATGTAACAAAAGGAGGGGAGTGGTTGATTTTGCAGAGGTCCCTGGGACCATCAAGTGAGAAAAGCGGAGTATGGGACCCTACCCAGAGAAGCAATGATGCCAGAGATGGAGGCAGAGACAATGATGTGGAGAAATGGAGCAGCTGGAGACTCTGGACTCAGGGAGGGAGAAGGGCTGTTTTCTGACAGCTGGGGTGCAAGCTTGTGGCATGTACCCTTTGGTTGTTTGATGATGTATGGAGGGGATTGTAATCATTGCAATGAAACGAAATAGGATAGGATGAATGTAAAGCTGGTGTTCTTCCATGTAAAATATCACATAATTCACAATAAAAACTTTAAAAAAAAAAAAAAAATATATATATATAATCAGAAGAAACATTGTGGATATGATCCTAGAGGAATCTGTAAATAAGGCTTACCTTTAACTCTACCTTATCTGGTAGCGTAGTGGTTACAAATCGGGCTGCGAACCACAAGGTCAGCAGTTCTAAACTACCAGCTGTTCTGCGGGAGAAAGATGAGGCTTTCTGCTCCCATAAAGATTTACAGCCTTAGAAACCCTGTACAGGGTCGATATGAGTCGGAATCGACTCCACGGCATATAACAACAACATTGTACCTGTATCTTTAAAGCTGGCCAGAAACAGGCAATATCTTGTTTTCAACTTCTCAAAAAAGTTACACTGAGCAATCAGAATCCCTTAATACTGATTCTTAAACTTCTACAAGCTTTTTGGCCTTCTTAAAAGTTATAGAACCAATCAGGGATAATTTACAGACAAGTGCAAGGTAATTCATTTGAGAGCAGAGTGAGGGTCTCAGATGGTTATTTAAAAAAAAAAAAAGGAATGATGATGATGAACAAAAATCCATACCTAAAATTTCACTTTAAAAGCCTGGCTATCTTCTTTTAAATAGAGAATTGAGAGTCTTGAGATGTGTTAATTTCTTTGCAACTGAAACTAAGAGGAGTTTATGTCATTTGGATTGTAAAATGAAAACTGCATCATTTGATTTAGCAGGGACATACAAGTACTGACTATGTGGAATATCAGTAAGACATAGCTCCTGCTGTAAGAAATAAGTTTTGTGTGCAAATAACTACAATTTAAGGCATAAAATATTTGTTATAGAGGTTCTGAAAATATCACGTAAGACAAAGAAGGAAGAGATATATTCTTGTCACTGGGTCCTATAAAAGATTTCACTAAGGAAAGAGCATCTGGTCCAAAGTCAAAGAAGGGGCAGAAATGTGAGGACAGAGTAAAACCAACCAAAGCACATCCCAGGCTGCCGCTGCCATTAGACACTAGCAAGTCATCCCACCTGGCTGGGAAATTGGGGAGTAAAATAAAATTAGTTGGTTATCAGTATAACATGAAGACCCCAGAATGTCATAAAAGGATTGCAGTTCATTTTGAAGCCAACTGAAAACCCCTAAAGGGTTTTGAATCCAGGAATAATAATCAACATCATTATCTTTGAAAAGGTATTCGACATCCGTGTCTAAGATAGGCAAAAATATCAGTGGTAGGAAGGCCAATACGGAAGCCTGAACTGGAAGAGCCTAACCAATGTAAACTGACGTTCCATTGACATTAAACAGGAAATAGAAACAAGGGAACGGATTGGAGAGGCACAGTGATGAGAGGTGACTAGAACTTGGGGACTGGTGTCAGCAGTAACAGAGGGAGTGAAAGATGTTTTGAGGTTTAATGCCTGTGTGCCAGTGAGGCTCACAACGTCCTTCATAAGACAGTAAATAGGATAGGATGAGTACGTTTGGGTAAGAAGAAAGATATTTGATTTATTCAATAAATATTTTATTGAACCATGTGTCAGGCACTGTTGTGGGGTACAAGATCATTACATTTAAATTTTTAAAGCATGTCAGGTGTACAAGGCACTGTATCAATCAGTGTGACTCCAAAGACAGAACTGAAGCCAGTGAGGAGGAGTAAGGTAGAAATTAAAACATCTTTCTAATAAATGGAGGCTTCTTGGTTCATAGTAAAAGCTCTGTTGTAGGCAGTATTGAAGCAGAAGGTAGCTGATAATCTTCTAGGAACATTGTGACAAGGCATCCCTGCATTAGGAGGGAAGTTCAACTAACCTTTCCACATGGTTTCATCCAGTCTTAAGAGTCTGTCTGTTCTTTCTGATGATCTAGTCCTATGAGTTCTATTATTAATCTCTTGTCTCTCCCAATTATTAATTAAATTATGCAGTCTGCTGCCATTCAGTAAAACTCACACATTTACATCTGTTATTCTTGAATTATTTTTGGTTGGGGCGCTTCTTTATAAAAAAAAAAAAAAACTCTACCCAGTTAATGTTACCTTTATAGCTGATGTAAAATGGTAACGTTGGTAGATTGGGTTCTAAATATCGGAGGTGGACAGGATTTCTTTTGCCTCTTAGTATTTTTGTTTCAAGGGAAAAAAAAAAAAAAAACAACTTGCAAGCCAGAAGGCACTATCTTGCCTTCAAGATAGTGATGCAGTTTCTATATTTTGCAGTAATTCAAGGAAGAAAAATATATCTCAGAGAGATTCATTTTGATACAGCATGATTAAAAAAAAATCTCCAAACACTGTACAGCTTAAGATCAGAAATATTTATCTGTGCTGCTTTAAAATAGAAGAAGGAGAAAGGAAAGGGGGAACCAGGAGTGAGCCACCCTATAAGCTATAGTTAAAGCTTTGCATTTCCTGGTGCCTTTTGAAACATAAAATTCCACAACAAATAGCTCTGTAAGGTGTAACCAGTATGAAGATTCAATTCAGATTTAAGCACTTTGGTTTGCTTTTGAATCTTGCTATTTTCTGCATTTGTTTTGACTGCTCTCATCATTCAAGATTGACGCTTGGATGGGTGTGTAGGAGGAAGCGGCAGCAGCAGGCTTACAGCTTGCAGACAAAAAAACTCTGCCTTATCTGATGGCTATTATTGAAAATGCGAGGTGTAGCTTGGGCTGGGTAATGAAGGGGAGCGAGCGAGGGGGAGCAAGGAGCGTGGAGCTGCATACTGATGAGTGTAGGAGTACTTGATAAAAAGAATTCTGGCTGGTGGCCGTGCATTGCTCATTGTGGAGTACTCCAACAATCACATAGAACGCAGACCAGCCTAAGCTGACAGCTTGATATGCCTTCTTCTGCTGCCTGGTTTTGGGGGCTGTATGACGTACTAGTCGGTAGTAAAGATTAATATGTAAGAAATGTGGAGCTAGGATCAAGTCATACTCCACAGCCTGCCTGGCAAACTATGTTTTACTTCTGACTTTGCTCTCTCGCTGAGAACATTAATCTGTCAAGCTGGCGGGCTCCTTTGATAGCAACTTTCCCAGGAGCATGATGTGGCAATGCCACCTCTCAGCCCAGGACTACCGCTATTACCCCGTGGACGGCTACTCCCTGCTTAAACGCTTCCCTCTTCATCCTCTTACAGGACCCAGATGCCCTGTCCAAACAGTGGGACAATGGTTGGAAAGCATTGGGCTACCTCAGTACGAGAACCACCTGATGGCTAATGGATTTGACAATGTGCAGTTTATGGTAAGACGCTCTCTATGTCCACGGAGCTGCCTTTTGTCTGTCTTTGCTTCTTATGTGTCTTACATGGCTCAGAGGCAGCCCGATTTGTACCAGAGCTGGTCAGTTTTTTTTATATGTAACTGCATCAGAAAATCGGATGCTCTTAGAACTGAACTTACTGTATACATATAGACACTTGCTGGAAATGAGATCTGTGTGCATCCGTATACATATGGATCATATGAATGAACTGGTGAGACTACTATTTATAGGCTGTGAAAGAAGATTAGCATTTATATTCTCCCTGTCATTCTTGGTGTGATTGTTAAAAATTTGTAATTTTAGAATGCCCCATTAGGTTTGTATCACTCTTCAACAAATTCTGGATTCTTAAAACGTATTCTTTCATTCAAGCATCAATGTTTAGTGATTAATTAGATAAGTGGAGATGTTTTCTGTGTAAAGATCTCTTTTTATGGATAATGATTCAATAGGCAGTTTCAATTGTGTGGACAACCTTCAGTTCATTAGCAAACTGTTTCAAATGGTCTGTTATGGAGAGCATTCACTTACTTACACATGTTGATTGAAGAGCAATGAGGTATTGTTTATTACTTTAGGTAGAACACAAACACTTCCATGGATGTTTAGCAAAAGAGGTTGATGGACTAAGTGCATATGGATTCTGAGTTACATGTGAGCTCAAGCTAGTGTATGCAAACTTCCCACCATGATGAATATAGGTAAGGAAAGAGGATGAGCTCTAGAGACCAATAATACAGCTTTCTAATCATTTACATACTTCCTTTAGTGCCTGTTGGTTTCCCTTATTAAGCTACATCACAGTCCTTATTACCATTGCTTGCTTTTAAGTCCCATCACACATTAACTAACTGATCCCTAAATTTAGAGAGATGGGACAGCGCCACACCAGGACTCCCAAATTTAGAGAGATGGACATAACATAGGCGCGTAGCACAGAAATGACTTGTAGAAACAATTCAAAGCAGTTGCTAAATAAAATGCTCGGTCTGACACCTGCAGTTTATTAATATCAGAACTGATAAAATACTGAGAGCTAGTTAGATCTTTTTTGTTTGTATGTTTCCAAAATCATATTATTCTTCAAGCTTGACTTGACTATTGTAGACTGGAAAAGATTGTTTAAACTGTTAAACTTCTGCTTCTCTCCAAAAAATGGGTATGCCAGAGAGCTTAAAATCATAATGATTTCAAAAAAACTACATAAATATAGTAAGAGTTCCAGGTAATTGTATATATAAAGCCCTTTAGAAGTATGCCTTTTTATAATGAAATATACAGCTACTGCTACTTTTCTTGTGTGTATTGAATACTGTCACTGTTTAGATAGACAAGTGAAAGTTCTTCAGCTGCCATAAGAGACTTAGGACTCGGAGCAGATTTAGGACAGACTTAGAACATCTAACAGATGACACCTAAGAATTAGTATAACTATAGACTATCCCTGGTAATGCAGTGGTTAAGTGCTCGGCTGCTAACCCAAAGGTCAGCAGTTCAAACCTATGAGCTGCTCCATGGAAGAAAGAGGAGTGGTTTGGTTCTATAACAATTTCAACCCTGGAAACACTGTGGGGCAGTTTATCAAACATAAAGTCTTTCCACAAATATTTATATTTATTGTGCATTTTGGTAAACCTTTACTCTTCCTCCTTATCTCTACTTTAAATAGGACTTTCCCATTTAGACTCCCAAATTCTTGTCCACTTTTATTCTGGTCCTATGAGAAGTTGGTTCTTTGGATTCCTTGGATAATTTGGCTAATCTGAAAGATATTTAATTAAGCATCATTTTGCTCTGAATGTTAAACACTTATGAGATACATTATCCCCTTTTGAAAGCCTGAAACTGAAAGGTTAATCAAACAGGTTTCAGATAAGCATTTGGAGAAGAATCACCAGAAAACATTCATTAATGTATTTGTGTATAAATATCCTGGACATAATGTGGCAAAACCAAGATCTGGTATTCTCCACAGATTATTCATTTTATTTGCTCAATTCCAACTATTAAATATAATTTTCCAGAAAATAAGAAAGCATTGTTAATTCAGATGAGTCAATCAAATACTTTCTTCATGAGACACAAATAATTATCTTTAGAAAACTTTGAGTTATCATTTTTAAGAGTTTGTTATGAAAATGAAGCAAATCATAAATTTGCTTCATTTTCATAATAGTGTTATTGATTAGTGCTTTACATGTTTTTCTGCACCATTTGTTTGCTACTAATATGAAAGATCAATTTCTACTATTATAAAAAATAGTTCTTGATCTTCCATAATCTAATCTATTTAATTATGAATTTAAGGCATATTGAACTAATATGATTGACTCACTTTAAGTAACAGATTTCTTTCTTGTGGTGACAAATCTGCTAGATCTGCTTAATCTCCATTTGGTATTATATTCCAGCATTTGTTTTCCTTTAAGCACATTCTGACCTGCATTTATTCATCCTGTTGCCTAAGCAACAGCCACCACACTCCTATTAACTATGATGTAGTGCAGGTCTTATTAACGTTTTAAAACAAGACAGTAGACATCAAGAGGTTATAATTAATGTTGGTTGAAACAGCATATTACATACAGGCATAGATAAATTCTTTTTAGGAAACATTTACAAGGTTCATTTTTTTTTTTTCCTTTAATAAATTTTGCATTAATGAATGTGGATTTAGAGGGTCCACATAAGTAACTTTCAAAGTAAAGTGTTTATAAAGTATTAGCATTTACTGTTCAAAATCTCTTCTAGGTACTCTCACACATATGTGCAATATATGGATGATAGAGCCTCCTCATGGCTGTGATTAACCTTAATAAAGATGACTAAAATGATTTCCAAGATATGGTCAGGAAAGAAAGAACTTCCTCTTAAATATGTATGAAGTATCGCTTCTCCTTCACACTATAAATGATCATTTGGACTCCTGGCATGGTGCTGTAGGATCAGCACTGGACTGTGAACCACAGGTCAGCAGTTCAAACCCACCAGCTGCTCCTTGGAAACCCTTACAGGGTCACTATAAGTTGGAGTCCACGGCACTTAACAACAACACCGAATTATTTTTCAATATCTTTGAATTAGAATTCAAAACTTTTTTCTCTGTATTTTTTTCTGGTTTGCAGAATACTTGTACAAATAATTTGAACATTTCTGTGTCCTTAAAACTTTAAATACATAGAAATCAGTACAATCAAAGAATAGTTACAAAAGTCCATCAGATCACGTTATACTTTAGGAAAGTTGCATGTATGTTCAATTCAGTGGTTTGAAATCAAAAGCACCTTCAAAACAGAGTCTTTTGAAGACTTCTGTAGGTTTCACCCTACCTGTTATTGTCCTCTGAAGTCCTATATCTTCACCTCCCTCCTGGATAGGGTTAGCTACCTACTGCTCAATAGTCTCTGGGCTAGCTGCCATGACCCTCTGGCTTTCCTGCTATTTTCCCCAGTTTGAAAAAGAATGTGTCTGAGTTTCAGTGTTACTGTCAAACAAACCGGTAGTTGGGTTCCCATATACAGTACACATTATTTTATTTTCTATTTCCTTATTATATTTGTTTCTTCCATCATCTTTCTTTTTCCGTCATGGCTGATGATTATTTGCTATATTTTAAATCTCAATCTGTTTATTCTTATCTCAAAGACTTTGCTTGTTTGCCTGGTATCTATCCCCTCTCTACCTGGACAGCTCTTTCCTTCCTGTACCCTCTGTCTTTATCCCAAAAATCTAACCCAATTCTTGCCTTGTTTATGTAGTTTTCCTTGATGTCTTCAGTCCATAGAAGTCTGCCTTTTCTCTGCACTCCTGTAGTAGATACAGTTGAGAAGAGAAATTACATTTGGCATGCCATTACTCACTCTTTAGAATCAGGAGTTACGTTTTCACATGGATATATTTTGTATCCCCAACTAAATGGGAATCTTCTCAATTCCAAGTTCCGTGTAATCAATTTTCTTGCCTTCTTCACGACTCCTAGCATGATGCTGTGCACATAAAAATCACTCTGTAATTTCTGTAGACTGTTGCATCTGTTCCTCCAGTCTCATTTTTAAACTGGAAGCCTCGCTTGGCCACTGGGAACATGGAGCATTAGTATTTATCACTCCTTCACTCAGCAAACACTCTTTAAATCTTTTCTATGTATCAGGGACAATGGTGATTACTAGTTATATAACAGTAAATGATATAGTCCAAGCTCTGAAGCAGGTCAAGTATTTTCCTTAGGTTCATCATAGTATTTGCAGACATACACAATATCTCAGGGACCTTGACTCTTGTTCTTCCATATAATGAGCACCCTTTGACAAATGAACTTGCTAGCAATTGTTTTTCTAGCAACACATTCCAGTAGGCAATTGTTGTTGTTGTTGTTGTTATGTGCTGTGGAGTTGGTTCCGACTCATAGTGACCCTGTATGGAAGAAGTAAAATCCACCATGGTGGTGGTGGTGGTGGTGGTTATGTGCCATGGAGTCGGTACTGACTCATAGACACCCTGCATAGGGTTTCCGGGGCTGTAAATCTTTACGGGAGCAGAAAGCGTTATCTTTCTCCCACAGAATGGCTGGTAGTTTTGAACTGCTCTCCTTAAGGTTATCAGCCTGACTCGTAACCACTACACTGCTTGCTGTTGTTTACGGGAGCAGAAAGCCTCATCTTTTTCCTGCAGGACAGCTTGTAGTTTCGAATTGCTGACCTTGAGGTTCACAGCCCGATTGGTAACCACTACACTACCAGAGCTCCTTGCTACACCACTGAGCTCCTTAAAATCTGTCATAGTGTAGAGCAAAGGGAGATAAAGATGCTGTAACATCAAAACATTGGCAACAATTGCATTAGGAAGTTTATATTATTTGGAGGAGGGTTGACTCATAATCTCTCCCTAATAACTAGTTGACAGTTTTATTTGTAAACTAATCTAAAAAGTGGAAGAATGAAATTTTACCAACTCATTTTTTATTGTCTACTGTGCTTCTA